ACTACAGCCTCGTCCAGTTTAACCTCCATTTGAACCGAGACCCAACGGACGGCAGGGTCCAGGGTCCCAGTACCAATCCCAGTGCCAGTCCCAGTCCCAGTCCCCTTCCTCTAATCATCATTTCGCCTTGTTTTCTTTTCATTTTCCATACAATTTTCCGTTGCTTTTTTCCAGTTTTGATGTTGCCCCAGGGAGGTCTGAAGTAATTGTTGCGCTTTGCCACGCCCAGCGGCCGGCCCATGGCCCCCAGACACATTAAAGTCAGGCCAAGCGAGAGTCGCGAATATTTCCGTATCCTAGGGGGCAGAGATAGATAGCAGAAGGTACAAAGAGAGAAGGAGAGAGAGAGAGAGAGAGAGAGGGGAGAAGGCGAATCTTAGTTGGTGAAATATTTTAGCAGTAAAAATTCCCTGGTATCCTCTTCCTATTTTGCCACTTTCCGATTCTAGTTTCGTTTTGTCAGAGCGGAATCAATTTTTGTAGCTTTCTTTGGCTTTGGATCTACAGTGAAAGCTTTGCAGAGCGGATATTTTGGGTTCCAACCAGGCTGATATTGACTTAAAGGAGAGTTCTCCATGTCCATTTATGCAACTTAATTTGCCTCCTCAAAAATGTCTAAGCAGCCAATAAATTGTGATGTATATTAGGACATAAAATTGTTGACCATTCATAAGTGATGTCCTGCCCTTGGAGCTGCCACTGTAACAGGGTTAAGTCGCTGAGAATGCATAGCCTGCAACGGGGTTTTTATTAAATTCCACAATCGAATTGCAGGCATCGCATCTCTGCCATGGTAACGGCCATATCCCGGCCCAGATCCTCATGAACTTTTACAGAGCCATTATATGCAAATGATGAGAGCAAAGAAAGCAAATATTGCTACCTCGGGCAGTGGCCACACCAGCAGGGGCAGGACCAGAAACACGACCACTACCAGAGCAACACACACACTCTCTCACACGCACTGGCATTGTTTGTACTGGAAGGCAGGACGTGGTGGAGCATGGAGACCACGACGAGCAGGAGTGTCCTGGCTCATGTGCAGACATTTACATAGGCAAACAGCTTCTTCTTCCTGTACGTCCTTTCATGTGCTGCATGAAGCCAGGACTGCCTGGCCGTGTCCTGGCACGAACTACTAATAAACCAAGAACACCAACACCAACTACATCCACAACAATGGCGATGGCAACGGATATTAAGCCTGAACCGGCCCCGAGGACCCCAAAAAAAGAAGAAAAAGAAAAGAAAAGAAAAGGAAACGAAGCAATAGTGGAGAATGGAGAAGGACCTGGAGAATAAAAAGGAAAAGTCTCTAACGAGGCTAACTTTTTGCCAAAGATTAAAGATGGACCAGCAATAGTGTAACGATACAGTGACCTGCCCCACACGTGGGCCAAACACCAAATATTCCCCCCTCTAACACACCACTCCCCGCTCCACTGTCCACCCCATACCGATGACAGCTTAAACAAACGCCGCTAGGGGGCACAACAGCAACAGATGAGACGGTCGAAGGATTTTTGAAAACGCCCAAAGGCACAATGGAATCGAACATGATTTGTCGCCTCTTAACAGTCACAGTGGGACAGATGCCACGAAATTGTGGAAGGATTTGGAAGATTCAAGAAAACATAAAAAGGGCAACAATTTGGAGGGTTTATGGAAGTCGTACTTGTATTTTGAATATGTTAAGGTTGGGGCTTGGATCGAAGAGTGATGGTAGATTTAGTCGTGTTTGTAGTCTCAAATTAATTAAAAAAATATTTATGAGTAAAAATAATAAAGTTACAAGACTTAAACCAGAGAGCTTATTACATTTCTTGCCTCTGCTTAAATCCTACACGAAAGAAAGTCTGAAAGTATTCCTTTGTTTTCTTTTCTTCAAACCATTTTGATAATATTCTGCTAAGAGACAGACATCACATTTGGACATCATTTGCCACAGAAAAGTTTCGACTTGACAGCAATTATGTTTCAGCTTCAGCGAGGTACAGGGAGGGACAGTGTCTGCATAAATTTTCTTGTCATATGTGTAAAAGTTTATTCTTTTTCGCATTCCATTTCAAGCATACTCTTTGGCTGCTGATTCTTGGTATTCTTATTATTTTGGTTCCCTTGCAAATTTAATCACTTAACCCCAATGAAGTATGAAAGGAAAGTTTTCCTACCCAGCAGGAAAAACTTGACGGAAGAAGCAGAAGGAAGGAAAGAATTTCTTTGAATGGGTGTGTGTGGTGGGGGGAAAAGGGAAATTGATTTTTCACTTGGCAGAGGTCGCAGCCTGAGCATATTAATTCCACTCAAACCCCGAACTTCAACTCCAGCAGCCACACACCCATTGTCTGCCCTGTTGACACTGTTCTCGGGTGTGTGCATGTACTTTTGTGTGTGAGTGTGTCAAGGCGCCCCCAAATGACAAAGTTACTTAAATTACCCAAAGAGAAAGTTTCTCCTGGCGCTGCCGCTGGCGCTGGAGGTGATGCTGCTGGTTGGAGCTCTTCTGCTCTTCTGCTCTTCTGCCTTTGCTATGCCCTTGAAGAGGGTATTCTGGGCTTACACCTAGAATATGCTTTAGACATATGCTTTAACATGAAATATGTGAATAAATCATTGAAATTAGATCAGTTTTGGAGGAGTAAATTGTATATCCTCCACGGAATCAGTCAATCAATTAGGGTATGCAATATTCCGCACATATTTACAGCCTCTTCTTGATGCTCTACTTACTCCTGCTTTCTGTCGCGACTTCTAACACCGTTTCTGATGTTACTTTCGCTCAGTAGTTCTCCATTTGCAGTTCGACTCTTAAGCAGAATTAATGAGTGTGAGCGCCAGCGAGCATGCAACCTAAATTCACTTGAAGACCAAAAGTAAAATGAAAGTTTTTCCGTTGGTTTTCCCTTTTATTTTCACCATTTTCTTTTGTATAGAGTTGAGTTTCGTTCTTTATATTTTGGTATGCTGGCCAACACAGTGGTCTCTGCATCGTGTGTGCGTTCTTGCCAAAAAAAAGTTTACCCATGCAGTCTCATTAATGTCTGTCCCGCTCTGTCCTGGGCTGGCCTGGCTGTCAGTTGGTGCAGCTTTGTGGCAAGTTGTGGCCAGGTGCTTGCAGCAAGTGCCTTCTTAAAGTACTCTTACACCTGGGTGGTGTCGTACAAGGGAGGGGCAAGGGCTGACTGTGCATCTCTATGCCAACAAATTGGAGATGTTACACAGAGAGAGACTTATGTAAATATGTACATGTATACATAAATGTATGTACATACATTTTAGAGTATGCATTTGTACATATGTTTATGAATTTCCAGGCTTGTTTATTAGCATTCCTGATGTGGTGTTGCAGGTTTGCATTGTGATTAAGTTGGAGCTGTGTTCGCTCTGGAAATTCAGGCTACACGAATAATGTAAAGAACAATAATTCCAATTACAATCTAGAATATGATTCAGCCTAAAATAAAGCATTATATTAGTAAGAGGATTAACCAAAGAGGATTTCGATAAGGTTTGCTTCTGAATGTTTGCCCTGAGCTCTCTCTCTCTTTTGATTCAATTACGCTCATTCCGGAATACTCAAATATATCAGAAATTTAATGTCTTAATGCATTGTGTGGAGAGTATAAACTCTCTCTTTCTGCCATTACCTAAATATAATCTGCTTCATTGCTTATTTTCCATCAGTTGAAATGGAATCATTTCGATCTTCGGTTGATTGCCATTTCATAATTGAATTGGACAACATTAAGAGTGTCATTCATGAAATGTCTTCTCAGACATCAAAAATACCACAAATCATTGCTCAACCCAAAAATGTGCTGTCCTCGCCTCGGACACGACATTGCACTCAAACTGAGCCTCAAGTGGAGCGACAACAATTGCAAGTCACAGAGAAGAGAGCCAAGGATATATTATACTCATAGAGATTGAAATATTCCCACACACATACCAGAGCTGGGAACTCCCTGATGTATGGGTGGGTGGATGCCTTTGTATACAATAATATCCTTTCACATTTTATTACACTTGTAATGTGCAACGATTGGTAAGAGGAGGAATGATGGGGGTGAGTCTAGAAGGGCATCCATGTGAGCAGTCATTCTGGAGTGACAGCCGCAGGCGCTGTAATAATGTAGGACACGCAGAAGGAGAGTAGGTGGGCGTGTGTGTGTGTGTGTGTGTGTGTGTGCTCAAACATAGTCTATCCAGCTGTAGGGGGCTGCTCTCCCTCACTCTCTTTGTGGGCTTGTATCATTGTCAATATTGACAATAAACAAGTTTGCCATAAAATGTTACAAGAGCCGAGACGAGCCTTCAAGAGGGGACATAGAACGCTATAGACAAGGAAAGATATAGAGATAAAGATAGAGATAGAGCGAACAAGTGGCCACAGTGAGTGGCAAAAGTTGAAGACTCTGCGAAGTGGTGGAGCGAGGAGCGAGCATAATGCATAAATCAGGCACTCAATCATGTTGCAAAAACCAAAACATCACATTCCTGTCATCACATTGACTTATTAATCGTATATAAAATAAATGTTATATATGGCATTTACACTTGGAAAAATAAATTAGCTATAATTTGGAAGCATTATTACAGCCAAGAGAATTATCTGCAGACTATTGCATGCTTCAATTTAGTTTAAGGCGCGAAACTAAACGTTTTTATACCCATAATTATTTCTCTAAGTGTACCTTATGTAAGCAGCACCTTTACAAATTAAAAGAGCCATAAGAGGCAGAGAGTTTGATGTTTTTATAAATTATATAAAATATACATTAAAGGGCTGGCTCATCACTCAGGGTTGACTGACACTGGCCATGGTAAAAATAAACTTTTGTAATTAATTAAAATTTCCACCCGCATAAATCAATCATGGTGGCGCCTCCACTCCCTCCGTTCACCCCAACCCCAATTAATGATTTAAGTCGTCTGTAAAACAAAAAATAGCCACGAAAAAAATATATAAATAATTTTTGTCGCACTCTTTCGCATTGCAGATTTCATTACTGGGCTGCGACTGGTCGAGGTCCGCATACCGAATTACGTGATTAAGGGCTCAGCGGCGCAGCTGGAATGCCTCTACGATCTGGACGGAGAGGCCCTGTACTCGGTGAAATGGTATAAGGATGGCAACGAGTTCTATCGCTATGTGCCCAGGGACATGCCGCCGGCTCAGACCTTCCTGCTCCCAGGTGTTAAAGTTGATGTGAGTATACGAAGTCTCTACACACACAGATGCCTACCCCAATGGAAAGAGAAACAAAAGGAAAAAAGTTTCAAAAGTCCGGGAGTGTGTCGTACTAAAACTAAACATTACAAACAACGCTGCATACTTTTTGCGGTGTCTGCCGAAACAACAATGCACTGGGTGGGAGGGGCACATCATGTCCCTGTGTATTCCAGTGTATTCTCTCAATCCTCTTTTATGTTCCTCTCCTTTTATGGTCTACATGTGCGAGTGTGTTTTTGCGAAGAATAGCGAATTGTTTATCGCTACACTGAATGAGGTGAGCTGCGGTGAGGGTTGGGGATTGGGTTTGGGGTCTGCTGGGTCTAAGGTAAGTCCTTACCCGTGCCGACAATGTGCTACGCTGCCTTCGCAGCCAGACTGAGAGAGACAAAAGAACTACTAGACTCGTTTGTGCATCCTTCTAAAAATTAGTTGAATAACAAAAAACTGACCTGAGTCAGGGATTTCTGCAGAAATGTGACGGGAGGTGACTTGGGAGAGATTTCTCAGCTACGAAAGATGATTAGAGCCGGGATACATATACATAGAGTTTTAAGGAGTTTTTTATTTAAAAGTTTAAACAGAAAACCTCGATATATTTTAGATTCTATCCTCCAGTTTCGGCTTAAACATTTTCCAATATATTTAACCTGAAAATACCAAAACTTTCTGGACCAAATAAAGTTCCTAGTTTATTACTCTTTGGATATTCTTAGTCGTTGGAAATTCTCTCCCAGTTTTGTTGTAAATTTCGAGTTTAATTTTTGTTAGCTGGTGCTTGAGCAGGACTGCTGCAAGAGTAGCCAAGAGTTTTGAAAGTACATAGATGCATATAACATGCCATGTGCATATACTTATGGAGGGTAGGGATGTTTTTTTTTTTTGAATTGCCAGATCGAACTGTTTAATAGTCCGAACCGAAGCGGAGTGCATGTAAAGGATGGATGTAGAGCACTTAGAATGGCGTCGCTCCATTATTTTTGCCACTAAAACTTTGGCACGTAACAATGCACTAGACTCTGCCGGGTAACACCAGCTCCACCTCCATCTCCGATTCCCATTCCGATTCCTACTCCACCACCGCTTTTGCAGAGCCAACGGCACTTCCAGGGAGGAATAGTTGGTGTAGTGGGGTGAGGAAGCGCGGAGAGCCAGTGGCAGATAAGCACGTGAGCAGACAATCGGACCTGGTTGATGGCAATGGCAACATTCGACATGCCTGCCACTCTCTTTCTCTTGCGCTCTCTTTCTCTCCTCTCTCCTTCCCACTAATCGGCTACCGAAAAAGTGAAATCTGTTTTCCCATGAATGCGTCCGTCCATCCGCCCGTACGTCCTGTGACGCCTTGTTCGTGAGTGCCTCTATTTCGCCCCCCTATCTCTCTCTATGTGCCAGTCCATCCCTCTGTCTCTCTTTAAGTGCAATAAATATTTCAAGTTGCGCTTTTGCGTTTCGGTAGCGGTGGTGGGCGTGACCGAGTGTGTCCATAAAGCGCGTTATAGCAACAGCAACACATACCACATTACCGCAAAGCGATTTCCGTTGTGCCACTATGGGAATTGGTGAGAATAAATGGCACAAAATAAGATTTGATTGTGTCAAGAAACGCGTCTATGGATTCCCCAGGGGATTACTGGAAGGAAACTAATCATTTAGAAAATAATATTCCTTGAGGAATTGAGTCAAAACATTCTTTAGTTATTCCTGAAGTTGAGATTTAAAGTATTAAAATTAAACAGTTACTCCCTCTCTCTTTACCACAGAGTAAACACTTTTAGCCACTCAATTCGTGCCTTCCTCCCACTGTCGCTTTTGTTCTTTTCGCTGCTTAGCGGTAAACTTTTTGATGTTGGGGCCGGCAGAAGATGCCAGTTAGCGATAACCAATTGATGCGCATGTACGTGTGGCTGTGTTTGTGTAAGTGTTAGTGTAAGAAGGGGAGCTCCATTTGCTGGATATTGTTTTAGCATAATCGATTTGAGTGACTTCGGGAGGGGTGGGGGCGGACCATGAACTGTGGGCAGAGGACCTGCTGCTTCTGTGGCTGTGGCTCTGTGGCTGCTCTTCTGTTCGGTTTTGTTTTATTGCAGTTGGGAATAGTTTGTTGCTGTTTGCTGTGTTGCTTAGACGTGAGGTTTACCTGTGCTGCCCGCTGCCCGCTGCCTCTTCGTCTGCGTTTTCTGTCCGTGTGGTAAACTATAAATTAGGTTAAAACAACAGCAAAAGGACGAGGGTAGATTGTTGGTGGGCAGAGGGCCGAAAGAATTCGCAATAAAAGATAACAAAGTGCACTTTTCTGCTCCGTCAGATAACACACCGAGGCCGGGGCAGGGGAAACTGATCCCCGGTCCACCTTAACTCCAACATCTCCTACACCCAGCGCTATAGACCCGGGATTTAATGGCTTAAAGTTCAAGTGAAATATTTGCCTAACCCTTTTTTGGTCAGACATTCAACACTGACCCTCTCGGACGTTGGGTCTTTGCCGAGGGTGAGGTATAAGACGTAGGACGGAGCCCCGACATTCAAAAGGCATTTTAAAAACAAATAAGAAGTAGGCTGTAGGGGGAATAACGACTTAAAGATACCCGGTAGCTGAATGGTTGGGGATAACAGCGGAATACTTTATCCGATCGAAAATGCTTCAGACCGACTTTTACAGGGTACCCACAAGGAGCACAAGCACAAAGTAGAGTAGAAGAAGCGGCCGAAGCGAAAACATGCGAAACTGCGGCAGTTTTCAAAAGCAATTACGTTACATTAACGTCCAAAGTGGCTGCACGTCGCCCCCTTTTGCCAACATGCCCCTGTCCAAGCAACCCAACCCCAATCCCATTGAAACTGCCAATGACAACGGAATTGGGTGAAGAGGGGAAAAGTGAAGGAGATCGAGCAGTGCAACAACTTTTCGCCCACTTTTCGTTACATTAATTTTAACCATCTTCCATCTCTCTCAGTGCCATCATTCAACAATTTCACTCTCTTTTCTCTTTCTCACTCTCTTCCATTTTTAATTGCAGTTGCACAACTCAAGCGACGCGATTGTTACGCTGCGCGACGTCAATCTAAACTCGGCGGGACGGTTCCGTTGCGAGGTTTCCGGTGAGGCGCCTTCCTTCCAAACGGTCACCGAGCATGGCGATATGGTTGTTGTGTGTAAGTATATGTATATATAGCTCCTCAGCACCTCCTATATCCTCCTTCTATATACTGGTAGTAGTAGCTGCTGAAAGTCAGGCGAAAACTTATAACTCTAATTAGAAATTGTGGCCATTTGGCGTTGACTGCAGACTGGTTGGCTGCTGCTGTGGCTCAGCGGGTTGCTGTGGTGGGGGCGAACTGCGTCTGACGTCGCCTGCGACTTTGACTTTTACTCTTAAAACTTGTCACAGAATGGTGGTTGTACTTTAAAGCTACAGCAGAGAGACAGAGAGAGATGTACGAAGAGAGCGAATGAGAATGAGGTGGGGAGCGAGTGAAATGAAGTGTTTAAGCTCCTGTTGATTGAATGCCAGTCGACACAGAACTTTGATGTGGAAGGTGTTGGCTCATGCTGTCGCCACAAGAAAAGTCGATAGCAAGAGAACCATGCTTATGGAGGACAGGTCGCTCTCTCACTTTCTGTGCAACTCGTTTCAAGTTTTAACTGGGTGAAACAAGTCTGCAGTTTACAGTGCCCTCAGAATTAAAAACCAAATTAGTATGGAACATTACTGAATAATGTATTCAGAGAAGTAACTAAAATGAGTTAATTTTGAGTTCTTTGTGCACAGCTTATATATTTTTCATCATTTATAGATGGAGTTGTAGATGTAAAAGTTCTGGGGGAGCTAAGGCTGAAGAGCGCGTAGATAGTAGCAGTGAGCTGTAAGCTGGAGCGCTAACAGATATCTGCAAACGGGAGCGCTAACAGTTAGCTGTTACGGGGGCGCTAACAGACTGTTAACCTGGAAAGCTAACAGCGCTGTTGCTCTGCTTCAGCTGCTGTCCGATTTTCTGACTTTCATTAACTTTAAAGTCAGCTTAAACTTAAATAGTAAACCAGGGATTATTAGCAACGAAATCTAGCTCTACTGCCAATGGTATAAGTTTAACCTTGTCCAGCGTTAATTTAATTTTGCTTACCAAAGTGGCTCACCTGATTCTGAGCAACTGGCCGGCTGGTTGGCTGGCTGTCCTGACCCAATCAGCTTTATTCAATCGAAATTGTGTTTACTTAGTCAAAAAGCATTTGAACTGCATTTGACAGGCTTCATTTGATTCCCAGCTTCTAATGCCAAACAAGCTTAGTGGACCAGCCCAACCCCACAGGCAAAACTGCCCAGAGCTTAACAGTTTAACTCAATTTTGGAAGTTGTCTGTCCGTGGATCCATGAGTCCCTGTGTCCGTAAGTCCGTCCAGGTCTCTGTCTCGTCTCGAGCAGATTTCCTGCAGGGCAATGCCAAAAATGTGCTGAAGACGCCGCCACGCAATCCACTGGAAATGCAAACAAAGCAAAGAACAAAACAAAAAAAATATCTCTCGGTAGATGATTTAAAGTGTGAGGGTGGCAGTGGCAGTGACTCTCTTCCCCTCATGCCAACGGGCACCGCACCCCAACGAGCATACCACTAATACACGTGGCGCGTTGAGCACTTTGAACTGGCGTTGACATTTCGTTTGTTCAATTATAAAACTTTTGCGTGGGCGTGCCATAGCACTGCTCTGTCTCTCTCTCTCTCGCTCTCCCCTCTATGACTGTCTCCCTTTAGTGTTAGCCCTCGTCGTCCTGCCTGTGTCTTTTGTTCTAACGGAGGGGCTTTTGCTGTGCTTTTGTTTTGCTGTTTCCTGGCTTATTGTTGGTGCTGCTGCTGCTGCTCATACTGTGGTCCCGGTTCTCTGGTTCTGTTTGGCTTTCAATCAAAGTTTTTAAAAGCTTCAACAACGAAACCAACGCATATGCCGCACAGCTCCCAGATGGTTTTTCTTCTTCTTTTTTTCGGGTCCCTTTGGCAAACAACAACAAAAACAGCAAAGCAAAACCATTTCCGTTTCCGTTTGCAGAGTCCAGCTTGGTGCGGATCCCACAGGAACCTAGCCAATAGATCCCTAACTGATGGGTACACTAACTGGATGAAAGACTGGCTTTGAAAGCAGTTAAAGATATCTCAATTGGGACGGGATTTAAGGGACAGTTTTTGATGGAGTTATTTCAATATCAATGGATGGAATGTTAGCGACCCTTGATCTCCCTTTAGTTAGAGTATTTCAGATTCCACTTGACAAATTTCATTCCTTTTTCTGCCTTTTTGTAGTTTGCTTTATTTTTTTGTTCGCAATTTTATCAGACGTCCGTCAGTGCATCAGCGGCTGGAACTTTTATTGAATTTCCGGCTGCGCTTCGCTGACTTTGTTGTTCCCTTCCCCCCCTTCCCCCCCTTCCCCTCCGCACTGCTCTATTCTGCTCTATTCTTGTCTCTTCTGGTGGCTGCTGTTGTGGTGGTCGTCAGAGCTTAGGTTTATTACGAAATTCTAAAACCCGCACAACACTGCATGCTCCGTGCTGCTGTCCCCCGCCAAATGTCTGCGGCTGTAAATGAAATTTAGCTTTGCCCAAACTTCGTCAGCAGCCCTCTCTCTCTCTCTCCCTCTCTCTCTGGCGTTAAACTAACTTGTTGTCTCTCTTTTGCAGCTCTGCCGGACCAGGGACCACCGAAGATAAGTGGCGGGCGTCCGCGCTATCAGATTGGCGATTGGGTGCGCATCAACTGCACGGCCGGACGCTCTAAGCCGGCCGTGGATCTGTCGTGGTTCGTCAATGGAGAGGCCGCCGAGCCGCAGAAGCTGCGCAAGTACGACACCATCGTGTCCGGGCGCGACCATCTAGAGACCTCCGTGCTGGGTCTCCAGTTTCGAGTGGAGCAAAAGCATTTCCGCAACGGCGACATGAAGTTAAAGGTAAGTCCTGAATTGCATTAACCCTAATTTAGTGGGTGTCTAACTTGAATTCTCGTTGGCTATTGCAGTGCGTGGCATCGCTGTCGACATTGTATTGGCGCAGCAACGAGGAGTCCGTCGAGGGCGATCGCCCACAGAAGGCGCCCGTCCTCGAGTCGCGCGAAACCGTCTACGCCAGCAACTCACGCGCCGATCCCGTCCAAGGTATGTCATACCGGGAATTATTTGTTACCAAAATCTTATCGCTTTTCATTCAAACAAATGCAGCCAGCAAATCGGACTCGCTCCTGTTGGCCCGTGCGCCCAGTGCCCTGCTCCTGCTGGCCCTGGCCGCGGTGACAGCCCTGGCGGGTGGAGGCGGCATCTCTGTCGCACGGCACAGCCACTCCAAAAATAAAGATCATCAAGAACATGATGAGAATGGGCAAGAGAATGATAAAAAGAGCGAGAGAGTAACTGCTGACGTGGACGGTGGAGAGGCGGAGGAGCTTTTGGTTAGTGAGTTGCTGGCGTTGGAGTTGGAGTTAGAGAGGAGCGCGAGCCGAAGCTCGACGACGCAGGAGCAGAAGCAGCAGCAGCATCGGGGAATGACGGTGACTGCACGGTAGCTGCATTAAGGTGGGACTCCTCACCCTCCAACACCGTTTTCACCGATTTTTCCGTCTTCGCTTTGCATAAAAAAAAAACTGAAAAAAACTCAACATAAAAGAGAAAATCAAAAAAAGGAAAACACACACAAAACAAGCAAAACAGAGAAAACCTAATGCAGCTTATTTATTTATGCCGTTAACAAAAAAGCTTTCATGAATTTAATTTGTAAAAAGTGAAACAGAAATTATCTAGCACATAAATTAAATTTAAACTTACTTAAAACATAATTGTACGAAATTGTATGTAAAGCCAGGTGCGAATGTGTTTTATCCGATCCACAGCGGAAAATGTTAAGCCCCCAAAAGGTCGCAAAACCGATTGTAAATAGTAAATGTTTAATATTATATAAATATATATATATTTATGTAATTGTATTGTATGTTATTACCTTTTAAGCCCCCTCACACACTCACACAAAAGAGCCGAAAAACGAAAAGCGAATAAGCTAGTTAATAAACTAAATCAGCAAAAATATAATAAAAAGAATATCATTAAAATGAAAGGATAATTGAGCAGAAGAATCCTCCAACCAAAGTTGGTCACGGCAAATTACGAGTTTAATAAAATATGCATAAATAAATATATAGGAAAATATATGTAAGGATATGTCTGTCAGCTTAGTGACGATTACCGATGACAGATTACGCAGCATTTCAAGCGAAAACAAAGATTGGATTAAGCGACTGGTGTACAGTGCGTAGCGAAACTATAGAATGGCTTCGTGCAGTCCGAGTGTCCGTTCAACTTTGACCTTTGACTTCTTATTTTGAGCTTCTATGCTAATACCTATTCGATTGATCAATCAATGCAACGGAGTGTCTACCTTTTCTATAGTTTTGTAACGCACTAAACAGCCACTAGAAATTCATTCAGATTAAACCACACAAACATATTTCTTCTTTCAATTAAAGTTTTATTTTTTAGAAGCACGTATAACATAAAAGAAAACTGTAATTAAATAACAAGGAACATTTTAGATATAGGATCACAAAAAAATCAAACCAAAAAAGCACCTAATTTTAAAAAGCAAAACAAAATGAATATAAATGAATGGAAAAAAGAGAGAAAAACTAATCAAATTTAGAAATTAAAACTTGGTGACTGTTGGAAAAAGTCTTAAAACTAAACAAAAACATATCGTACATTTATATGAATTGCCAAAGTCTTAATGGGTATTAACCGAATGGAAAGCTTCCACTTTTCCCCCTTTATAAATGCCATGAATGTGTCCTGTGTATGTACAAGTGTGTGAGTGCTTGAGTGTTTGATCATCCTCTGTATAAACTAATAACATTCCGAGCTCCATTTCGCCACCATCCATACAGATAATGTGTACACAATTTAGTTAGCCAAATGTTAGGAACACAATAGCAAAAGGTCAAAAAAACAGAACAAAACTAACAAATCGAAACAATAGCAAAATGATTGTGATGCAGCCTTAATAAAACACAATTGAAATCCATTCAGATCTGATGCGAAATCGAATCAAATCGAGCGAAAAACAAAATCAAATGATTTTTGTTATTTGGTTGTGTAAATAGAAATGAACTTTGTCCAAGGATTCCATACTGTTTTCCCCCTCTTTGATGTCAATAAAATCTGTGTGTAAATATGATTATGAGCTAACTAAATTAGAATTAAGGTGTCAATGGCAGCAAAAGCGAGAATGCAAAAGCCATGCGCCAATTTTAATATTAAGCAATCGAGAGAAAATTATAAATATAAAGGATAAACGAGGAATTAACAATAAATATAAATATGAATTCAAATGGTAATTGCAGTGCATTGTGAATGTGAATGTGAATGGCCATTTAAGTCGGACATAGATCTACCTTTATATGCATACACACACACATAAATACATATATACACTCACACACACACACACACACATAAGGATATATAAATCTGCATTGTTGTCAACTGTAACTGTTTTTTAAGTCTTATTTAATATCGAAGCCATTAACTGCAATTAAAATAAAAATTACTAAAACTGAAATCATAAAACTACAGCAAAAAATAATACCATGAAAAAGAAGAAACCCTATAAATGGCATAAAGATTAAAATGAAAAGCAAAACAAAATATAAGTGTGTGCTAATTGTAAGTGTAAATTATTTGTGTATTTAAATAACAACTTTTAGATGTATAAAATAAAACAAAAGCCAAGAGAAAAAAATGAATTAACGAAAATCCAAAAATGCATTCGAATCTATACGATAAAATCTATGTGAATCAGTAAACGAATTCAAACCCTAAGAGCGCTGCAACATAAACAGAAACGAATTATTTACAAACGAAAAACTCAACTCGAATCAAATGCCATAATGTAATTTCAACTGAATTTAGCTGCCAGCGAGGGGACTCGGTCTCTAGAACTCTGTAAATATCTCTAAGCCCCATTCGATATGTGCGCCCCGAGCGATCCAAGCCAGAACGAACGAATTGTGAGGAAGAATCGTGGAAATTCATTAATAAAACATACTTGTTTCAAAATCAAATTAAAAACTGGAGTTTCATTACTTGATCGCACACTATAGTGTATCGTGAAGCGGCATTATTTAGCTACTTCATAGATTGTTTTTAATTCATGAGATCTACAATTAATCCGCGCCTTTGACCTGTTCTCTGCTCCATTGTAATTTCAAATTTGTCGAAATCTGTGGCGGTTTATTCTAATATCGTTTTGCAGCTTTAATAAGTGTGTCACCGATATAATTCTCCTCTTTAAATTTGCCTTTTCCAACAATTTTCAGTTGCTTTACTTAAAATCTCCTACATAAATCTGCTTCAAATGAAATTGCTGTTTTGTCCACATTAAACCGGCTTCAATTATATGAAAAGCCAGCAAGGGTACCTTGTCCAGCTGCAGAACGAAACCTAGTCTGTATTTCTGTGTATTTTATATATATTTTTTGTATTTTATTCTCTGGCTGGATGCAACACAAAGAAAATTGGGTAATTTTAAGAAAATATTTCAAATACGTGAAAATGTTCCAAGCGAACGTGACAACAACCTTCGACGAGGACAACAACAAAATGGTAAAAGAGTCCCAAAGAAAAGCCAAAACGTTTAGCAGTAAAAAAGAGCGAAGCAGTTAACAAAAAAAAAGGACAATGCCAAAAGAAGAACTTAAGCAATGTGCAGAACAGATACAGGACCTGTCTACATGTGTGGAAGAATGTATAAAGAGGTGTGAATATTAAGTGGATAAGAAAAGAAATGTTCTGCCATTCATCCTTGGTACATATCAGCGAAACACAGCGCTGACCAGCACTCATATCTGTGCAAACAAATCCTGATCCCTATCAGAGAAAACTTTAGGAGGGAATCCCCTTAGTACCACATTTTGCCTTAGCCCTGCTCATCCTCTGGCAAAGTATGCACATCCCACAACAATCCCTAAGCCAACAAAAGAAAAAGAGAGCAACAAGGAAAATAAATACAAAATATCTGCAGACTTATCCCTAAGTCGGCACCTTAGCTGCGGATAGCACAGGGACAGAGGACCTCGCGTCGGACTTCACTAATAAGCTGCCAACGAAATAAGAACATTTGATAAATACCGTGAACAAAGCCAAACAAATTATAAGTGCCAGGGATACAAGGACACCGCCGTGGGATGACCAGAGATGACTTCACAGATTTATTTGCCAGCCAACAAATGGCCACAAATGAGCAGCCCAAGAGGAGTTCTCCCACCTGAGGTCTGCTCTTCCTGGTCGGGCAGCTATCAGATGGCACATAAATCAGATTTGTCATCTAATGAAAACAACAGCCAGATTTCCCAGGGATCTTTTCCCATTCATTTGTGGCAGAACTAATAGAGGCAACACACACAGTCCAGGCCCAGGTTGTGGGTCTAAGTCTCTGTTTTTGGGCAGACATAATTCGCGTTCCACTTAAGCTCTGGGTATGGGTATTTTCCAGGATATTCTGTGTTGACAGCCACCTTCGTGCGGCATCTGTGCCTGGGAGATACTTTCAGCATATTAAGCTCAATTGTGTGAGGCTTAAAAGTTTCATGTTTGATTTCGCACAGATAAGAAGGCATCAATTTGGGGCACAGGTAAACTTTTTGATTGCCTCCTCCCATGCCCAGTTCATGCTCTGCTCTGCTCTGGCACTTCCATGCCAAATGATAAGTTAAACTGTTCATCCGAATCTAGGGGCGGAAAGTTGCTCAAGTGGGGTGCAGGAGGAGGAGGCGGAGGCGGAGGGTAAGCTGTTAAAAACTGATGGCGATATGCCCAAAAGTTTAATTGAGCTCGTTCAATTGGAATGAGTATGCATTCGGTTAGCCATTAAGGACTGTTTTTGTTGAAGCACTAGATGGGTATATCGTTTGTACACTTTACAACAACTGACCTGTAAACGTATGCTTTAAACAGTCTCCGTTTCACTTAGAACCCATCCAAATGCTTCATGTGGATATATTCTTTGATTAACATTTCTACACTTCTCGTACCCTGTGCACATCATCTGCAATCTTTTTCATGGCTGTCCACATTGTTTATCCATTACCTGATTCGCTTGAATTATCACAAACAGACAGACTGACAGACAGACAGACAGCATGATTGCACCTTGAATCGATTTCCATGCAACGAACAACAGACAGAGGCAAGAAGGCAACGCAAAAGTTCGATGAAATGTGTGTGGCATGTGGCATGGGTGCTTGGGGGCAATGGCGCATCCATTCACAGAATGTCATGTCTGCTTGCACGTCCCGTCCTCGTCGCCGTCGCCATCCCGTTTTGTTTTGTTGTTATCATTTGCAGCATTTGAAATGATTTGCAATAAAAGTGTCTGCCACTGTCCATTGGCCACGCCCCATTGCTAGATTACGTGCCACTTCAACTGACGAAGCTGCCACACTGCTGTTGCCACTGCCACTGCTCCTTGTATTCTATTGCTGCCTTTGTTGGATGAGTTGGCACTGGCCATTGTCCTTGCCACTGTCACGTAATTGCATTGGCTTTTGTTTATTTTCGTTGCTTCTTTTTGAGTCCAGTGTCCTCTCTCTACACACACATTTTGCTCTTTTGCTTTTTTACGCATGTTCAGGTGCGGATTGTGCGATGAAGGGGAGCCCAAATGTGCAGGAAAATCAATCAAATATTTCATAATCCATCAAAAGTCTTCGCCCTTATATTTGTGCTTAGAGATATAAAATGCAAAAATGCGCCCCATTTCAGCTTACGCCCACAGCGAAGATTCCTCGTAGTCCACACCCGTGCCGACGGTCTCCGCCGTAGCTGGAAGGAAACCAGAGGACAAAGCATAAATAAACATAGAAGCAACCGGCAGTCCAATGGCCACAATCATAATTCTCGTAGTGCAATAAAAATGCGTGGCAAGTAACAGAATTACTCATAAAAATAAATAAAAAATTTCTGCCTGCCTGCCTGCCTGCCAGCCAGTCTCTGTTCTGGAGTCCTCCTTTTGGCACTGTGCTGTCTGGTGTGCTGCCTGCAATTTCTGGCACATCATTCGGCATTGCCGGGAGCCGTAAATTATATAGATTCTGGACAACATTTGTAGAATTAATGGCATGCAAGCGGCACAGCCGGGCCATAGACGGACCTCGGATCCTGTCCAAAATAAGTGGCATTTTGAAATGGATGGAAATGGATAATGGAAGTGGAAATGATTTCATGTCATTGCAGTTACGTGTTGGTGGAAATGTCAGCACAGCTGCATAGCAGCTGACGGCTCAAAGTTCCATTCGTGACAGTGTCAGACATCCACTCATTATTCCAATTGCAGATAAATTATGGAAATGTATTTCTTTCGCTATAAATCCAAGTCTACATCCACTGGATACCAGTCACAACGCATAGAAAAGACACAGAAGCATCCTAAATCTAAATCTTTTCGTGTTGAGTCTCACAATCGATTTACATTTTATCGAGGGGCTCCTGGGCTCATTATGTTGGCCAATTTTACTAGCACCTAAAGATTTGCAGCCCCTTTTGCTTCTGCTGATTTCATCAGAAAATACATTTCGTTACCTGGAAATTGTATGGCACTGGGAGGGAGGACTGGAGTGTGTTGTGGCAAATTTTATATATCTAAACAATGTGGCGGCTGGGGTCTGAGCGTGTGTGCAAAAAAGATTTTCGACCCCTTATCCTTATCTTGCCACAAATGGTTGATTCCGATTTAAGGCAGCGGCAAGCACAGCCGATATTTGATTTTTTACGACTCTCGACCACTTTTGCCCTTATCCCTGGCCAGAGTCAACGTCAACCCTTTCTTGGCGATTTACTTTCGCTTAAAATAACAATTTCAAATTGGTTTTATGGCCTTGGGCCCGTTCCCCGTTCCCCGTTCCAGTCCATTCCCCTTCCGTTCTATTCCCATTCGCAGTCGCATCGCATTTTGATCGCTTTGCATAAGCGCCTTTCAGCAATTTGCTTTGCCTCCGACCATTTGCTATATGCGGCTTAAAGTCGCCTCCGTGTTGGTACAGTCCAGCCCCCGGGGCACCCCCTGCCAATTCAGAGTCAAGTGCATTAGGTGGGTCGGCAAAGTGCAGTCAAAAGGGGGGGCAACAAAAACTTTTCTGCTGCAGACAATAATTGAAAATGCCGCCAAGCCCAAGCCGACTGGCTGGATGTGTGTGTGTGTGGCCGTCGTGTTTGTTGCCCAACTTCGCTGGCCGGAGT